GCACGATCATGTACCCACGTCTCGTCATGGTTCTTGTCGCAGCACTGGTGGCTGCAGCAACTCGTACAGATGGGGCAGGTCATCCGTGGCCAAATTTCAAAGCAAGCGGAATGATCTTGCAATACGTTGACACTTGACATGCCAACGGCTTGCCCCCTCTGGTAGTCAGCAGCGCCCTTTGGGGCACAGTCTGTCATGTCGGCATGCATGTCCGAATCCTAAAGGAATGCTGAAGGCCTGCATGGGCCTGCTACACATCCGCAAGGACTACTCGCTGTCTCTGGAGCTTCGTAATCGCATCTTCCGCTCCCTTACGACCTGAAATCCTGAATTCTGTGCAGACTGCAGGAAACTGTCTGCGTCCGACGCAGGCATTTGCCTGGTTGTGGCCTCCCTTTGCCGGCTGGCTAGGCCAAACCCAACTCTCCGCGCCTTCATGTCATACACAGACACATACTTCCGCAGCAGCGGTTGCCCGATGACCCACACTTGGGGCTTCCGTGGTGGCATATCCATCACAGAAATGGAAACATCACAAATCCCGCGCGTTCTGTCAATGTAGTCCTCCGGTGCCATGCTCAACGACAAGATCCTCGTCCAGTCCGACATCAGACAACACCGTCTGCATGCTGCAAACCAACAGTAAAAACACGCCCATATAAAGCTCAGAGTCCTGTCGTGCAAGCCCTGGAAGCGGAACTCAACGCTGGGCATCTTTTTCAGATCGCAGTCTGCCTGCATTCGGCAAGGTGCCCAAAGCGCACACATGAAGCTCCCTCTGCAAACTACCACAGGAACAGCACAGTAGAACAGTGCCGGACAAGGGCTTAAAGAAGAAGAAATTCAGAAAAACATGCACATAACTTCGCACACCCAATTTGTCACATTGGGATGGAGGGGCGAGGTCAGGCAGGAATGCGCAATGACGAGGAAAAACATTAAATTTAACCTGTCCTTGCAGTTTGCTAGTCCTTAGAGATGGCTTCCATGCTTCAATCGTAAAGTTCCAGGGAATGCATGTCCACAACGTGATGTGTTGATAAATGACTGTCATGCTGCAGGGCTCGAAATAGTATCGTACTTCACTCCCCCTGCTGTCCCAGCACTCATGAAACCCTCCGGTCCTCTGCGCCGGAAAAAAAAACTGCAACATTATCAGGATCAAATTATAGCTTACACTATAATGGCACCTTGACATCCAGGAGGGAAAGCAAGCGATCCACGGAGACCTGCCCAGGCCAAAGAGAACTTTTGGACACCCACCCCGTCCAAGGTCAGGCCTTTGGACCCATGACATCACCGGTGCCTGTGTCCTGTCAGGTGTAGTCTAAAAAGAATTCTGCATGCAGGATGCATGTTGTCGGGGCCGCACCACAGCTGCAAGGCAGCCAGATGTGCCATGCTCACCTAGCGCCATTGCAATCCATGTCCCATGGACCAAGTCTCTCGGCACGAGGCCCGCGCACGTCTCAAGAAGTCCATATCCCTGTACCGACCTGACAAAAAAAAGGAAGCTGTACTTCGCCGAAGGCCGCGGCCACTAGCAATCGAGCTCCATATTCTCACAGGCTTCGCCATGCGCAACACTGGCAACGAGGAAGGCTTGTGGCGCTTCCTGCAGAGACTGACTTGTGAGCCCTGCAAACCAGATTGGAACAGAAGTCATCAGAGGTTTCGACACACCGGTCCCACAACACAAAATCAAATCCAGAGCTCAGCTGTTTACTCATGCGTCCGAGTTGTGTGGGACAGCTGCCAGTCCCTCTTTGGTGACCTACATTGAAACATGCATTTGTGATGGAAGGGCATATATAACGTACAAATTCTAGCCCAGGGGCTTTCAGCTATCTGCACTTGCTTGTTTTCGGTCGTCGCTATACCCGAAAGCCCCAAGTCACGGCTGTCGTCAGCAGCCCTCTCTATGCACCGCATCGCAACGGTCAAACCAGCCTTCTGCACTTTTTAACTCCTATCAGCATCAAATCAATCAAGGCAGGGTGAATGCTGCGAAGCCAATTGCAAACATTTGGAAAATCAGGGAATCACACTCTCCCAGCCAGCAGTTGTTGTACATCTGTTGGACCTGAGTACGAGTGTGGCTAGATCGACTGTATCGCGCCAGAACTCAACATGCCACTAGGAGGAACCTAAAGACATAAGACCGCCAGGCATGGTGCTGAAGCCCAGCTCCTCATAGGACAACGCCTGCACCAGAACTGCACCAGAAGCTTCCGGTGGTGACAGCTTGATGCTCACCCGCAAGCTTGCAAAAGGCGAAGTGCAAAGTTCAAAGCTCAGTAGACCATGACCTCCCTGTGCATTGAAGAGGAGGTTCTATGGCTGGTAATTCTACGCAGTCAGGGTGTAGTAAAGCAACGGAATGCATCTTGAGCACCTGGAGAGACTCGCAAACCACCACGTTAGCCCGTGTGTCCGCATCCAGCACCTGCGCAGCCGGATTCTGTCTTTGCGCAGGCTCTTCCACCCCTTTTACGCCATTCTGGCACACAGTCTCGGTACCCCTCGGCTCGTCAGTGGCGAGGATTGGCGATTTTGGCAAACAGGGCCTTCTGTACCACAGGCCAGACCATCCTGCTGAAGACCGAGGGCGCGTTCAAGACGATGGCCTTGCACTTTGTTCCAGGCTTTCCGAAAATCGTAAATATTGCCGTACGCATGTGCATGTCTGTATATACTACGTCTGACATGTTGTATGACAACATTCTGATAAGACTCGACATATACATATATATATATATGTGTGTGTGTATGTATGTATATATATATACATAAATATGTGGAAAGAGATATGTATGACAGATATATATATATGTTGATATATTAGCTATGACGTATTAGATCCTACTGGGTACTAATATAATGCTACTAGGTATTAGACCTTAATATAATGCTACTAGGTATTAGACCTAGGTATTAGACATTATGTGTTGGACGTTAGGTAGTAGATATCATATCTAGATGTTACGTACTTATTGTTATAGAAATTCAAGTATTTTATTTCGATACACGATATTAGGTGCCATGGGTTCTAGATCATGTGGTATATGTCCGATCCTAGACATTCGACGTGAGATAGTACTTACACTAGCCGTTGCATGTGATCTGTTGCAGTAAATAAATAGATATGCATTACATAGCAACATTTCGTATCTATTACAAAATTAACCGTCCACATTACATCTGATATAATGCATATTACATACGGTGTAGATATGTTACACACAATAGAACTTGCTGCATGTTCGTTGCACTATCCATTGTATGTTGTATGTCTTGGAATAAGTATCATATGCGATATACACATACTCTACTATCTGCTTTAAGATGCACATTGCATACTGCGTATCATGTAACCTGTGTTACGTATTGCATATTGTACACCGAACATCGTAAAATGTGTAACATGTATGATGTGCGTTCGATTGCCTGTCGTATCTTGTATCTATCTGTGACCTGTTACGCAAAGGCATTTGTGCCAGTGTGTACATATATACACACCCTAAATAACCGGTGTGTATATATATATACATATATTTTTTTTGTGCTCAGAAACTGGATAGTAGATCATTGTGTGCTGTAAGCTGTATACATATAACACTGCACCCTTGACTCTTACATCTTGCCCTATACCTCATGCCCTTTCTCTTACAAACTACTTATTATATACTCTTTTGAAAGCTTTATTGTATAGACTGCTTGCTTTCTATTTCCTGTTATCCTTTTGACAATACTCACTACCCATAATCCGGTATGGGCTTGCTAGTATGTGTTGTATACTGTGTGTAGTTGTGTTTGTACTTTCACTATATATACATATATGTACATGTGTATATATATATATATGTATGTATACACGTATACACTCTTCTCTACTATGTGCTTTCCATAACATAATATATGTTTTACATGTGTGCCTGTATAAATATATATTGTATATGTATATGTATATCATAGATACATGTGTATATATATGTATGTATACACGTATGCACTCTTCTCCACTATGTGCCTTCCATAACGTAATATATGTTTTACATGTGTATATATATGTAGTATATGTATGTGTATATCTATGTGTGTGTATATGTTTGTACATATATGTACATACATACATACATACATACATACATACATACAAATATATATATATGTATATATTCTATATATGCATATATATATACATACATTCACATGAATACACATAATATAAACATATACAAATAAATGACTTTCGCGCCACCATCACGGAACTTTCGCGAAGGCATATGTACATAGCTTTCCCTGAGCTATAAGCTACAGGCTTCTCGATGACAAGTTGTTATGGGAATGAGAAATAAGAGCTCACGGCAGGCTTCCTAGGGATTTCAGGGCTGCCGTGACAGCCACAACAGTTGGAGAGGGCTGGTTAAGGCCGTCTTAAGGATCAAATTCTTAACGAATCCGTCTTAGGCTTAGGATTCTTGACAAAGCTTCCCAAAAGTTTCGATTTTAGTAATAGCAATAGCAATAGTAGTAGCAATTGTGAATAGTAACAGTAATCATAACAGCACTAGTAACAGTACGGCAAGTAGGCTAAACAGATAACTTTCGCAGAAAAACGAGTAACTTTCGCCTCACCATCGCGGAACTTTAGCGAAGGCATATTTAGCTATGCAGTTTGCCGCTCATATAAATTATGGCTCAAGGCGCTTTAGATCAACTATCATGTACACGTACAATTATATTTACATATTTAATGATCGATTTACTTATTTCTATGCTTCTGACAACAAGCAACAAATGTGTGTTGTGTAGTTTTTTCGCATAAACTACAGTATATGATTGCAAACTTTGCGGTAACTTTGCAGATACAATTGTACCGTAAATGATGTGTCTGTTTTGTCAAATTTTGTCAACTCTTACATGCTGTATGATACATACTAAAAACTCTACACTCTACAGCATCATGAATTTTACGGCCACATATCATGTGCTGCATATCATGTGATACATTTTTCCATTACGTACACGTTGGGCATTGGGCGCCATGCAGTTGGAGCCTTTCGCAAGGCGCAGGGGTAGTGCTTCTCTGCAAGACCGAGAACCTCAGGCGGACAGTAGGTGACTGTGGCCTTCGAAGGTGTGGAACAGGCGCTGCGCATACAAGTGAGCCAGCCACTCGGCAAAACTGGTGAAGACCCGACAAGCAGGACCTGGGCCCCGAGCTTGCTCATCGGGTTTCTCATGCCCGTGTCACGAGAGATTCCGGGGAAGCACTCTAAGCAAACCACGTTATCTGCGAAAGCCGGAGCTCTTTCAAGTCGTACACGACCACTGTTCCAGGTATGTCATGAGGATCTATGCTGCTGCTGCCTGGGCCGCGGAGGCAGAGGTCTCAGCATTCTGCCTAAGAATTCGGCAATTTCGGCCCAGCCTGTGGCCATCCGACGTCCATGGCACTGAATTTCGTAGCTCCGCTCCATCCACGTGAGCCAAAACAGGCGCAAACGCTCCTAGCAGCCAGGGAAAAACGAGGCTTGCAGGAATGGGCCCCCCCACAGCACTCTTCCTGCCTCATCGACTCCCAGCTGCAGAAAGCGCACAGCCTGAGGCTTTGGGAGAGAGGACATGTGCTGATAAACGAATATCTATATAAGAGGGGACTGCTAAATGCTTCTAAGGGCACCTTGCCAACATCGAAGAAGGAGATGGGGCTCCCATCGCCCGTAATGCCCAGATTGACCTGTGAGGCAGGTCGAAGTGCAACTGTGCAGTAGGATTGCTTCTTCTGCTGCCCAACCTCTGGCCAAACCTCACGGAGCTGCTCATGCACCTCAACGCATATTGTATGCGATGTAATGATAGCTACTTAGAGCTTCGAGCAGACAAGAGATCACCTCTTACAGTTCTCTGGTCGGAGTCGGGCCTCCTGAGCTGCGGGTGTCTGCAAGAGCTGGTTAACTCCTGACAATCATACACATGCAGCATGGCATGATATTATGTAATCTACATGACAACATAGTATAATACAGTAAGACCCAGCATGAGGTGACAGAGTGGAATAGAATACAAGACAACCCTGAGCATTGTGTAATAGGAAAAACCGATAACGATTAGGTAAAATCCTGTCTAGTAGGAAACCATTGTCGAGTTGGTAAACCCTATCTAAGAGGAAAATCCGTGTCTAGTAGGCACACTCTATTCAATAGGAAGCGCATCGTGAAGTAGGGGGATCGACAAACCAAGCTTAAAGCTACTGTGCACACACAGATATATATATATATATACATATGCAAATATGACAAACATGCGGATATGTAGAAATGCAAATACACAAATGATACATTATGACATAGTGTTAGAATCATACTGATATGTCCATATGTATATATACATATACATACATACATACATACATACATACATACATATGCATGCATGCATATATGTGCGTATGTATGTATGTATGTATGTATGTATGTATGTATATATATATATGGGGATGGAGTCTCGTGCCGCTCGCCTTCTCGCACCCGAAACTCCACGGTCTCCCGAAGCTTCTGCTCTGCAGCGTCCAAGCTGTAGCCACTGGCCCTGTGCATTTCGACTCTCGAATTGTCTGCATGAGCAAATATATATGTGCATATGTATATATAAATATATATGTAGATAGATGCATTATGGCTCTTGTGGGGTTTTATGATTTGCCTGCATTTTGGCAGACCCTGCCTCAAAAATCTCCAGTGGCAGGCTGGGTAGCCACCTGATCAGACAAGGAGATCTAAAGACAGCTCTTCGGAAATTTTGCAGCTTGCTTCTCAATCTCGGTCGCAAGCCGAGCTTCTCAATGGTACCTTTGATGCTCTGCGTTTAAGATGCAAGGAGGAGATGCAACTGTGCCAAGACCGCGACCCCGCGCTGCATCGGAAGAATCCAAGAGGTCTGGCAGGTTTCCAGTAGGATGGCTCACAACAACAGCTTTGCAGGAGGAAAGAAAGCCAAGATCCCACAGCGTATGTATGAAGAGCCACAGCATTGCTTCGGCCGTGAATGCCGTGTGTTATCGTCCAAAGCGTAAGAACGGCCACCATTTGAAGCATCAGCTCGTCAAGCATCCGTTCGAAGGTCCATATTCTTGCAGGTTGCAGAACATAAGCCCTGTGGTGTATGCTACATGCTACAGTATTATAAATGGTGCAGACGGGGTCGCAGGTGGGTCGAGCTTACATGCATGTCGCGGCTGCCCGCGACGGCTTGAACTGCTTCTGCAGAATGCTGATGACTCCTGCGATAGTTCGCCTCGCCTATCCCAGTAGTTCATAAGATGCAACTTCCGATCTAAACAAGTGCCTCCGATTCGACCGACTTGCGGAGTGCCGATGCGATCTGTACCTTCTTGCATCCCATAGTTTGAGCTCGTGTCGCGCAGCCCCCAACGACGGACGGTATACCCACGCAGCGGGAACTCAAACAATCAAGCGCCTCAAGAATGGCCATACTGCAAAACATACACCCCGAGGATCTCGCTTGGTGACTCGCCAAGCTTTCCAGGCGAAGCTGCAACCACTGAAACCAAGCAAGTCCAAGTAACACGGCCGGAAGTGACATAAACTGACATAAAATGACATGAACCTCAGAAGTCAAACCAGTATCCCTAAACCCTAAATCTTAAACCGTTATCCCTAAACCCTAAATCGTAATCCCTAAACCCGAAACCTGAATCCCTACACCCTAATCAAAGGCCTGTCAACCGTTGCTGCAGGTCTTCGACGCGCTTATCCACCGCGAAGCTTGGCACGGCCGCCTCGTGAGCAGGAACGTTTGCTATTGGTCTCATTTTCTTATTGTTGAGTATTATTACTACTACGACTTATATTTTCAAGCTACTTTTCTCATTGTTACCCATATTATTATTGTCATCATCATTATTACTGGTATTAGTTATCATTAGTACTTAGTCGTGTCGTCGCAGTAGTAGTAGTAGTAGTAGTAGTTGTTGTTGTTGTTGTTGTTGTTGTCGCTGCTGTTGTTGTTTTGTTGGTACTATCACTAGCTTCCGCATGATCATTAAAAATTTTCATGATATTCATACAAGAATAAGACTAGTAGTAATGAAAATAACAGCATTTGACTGAACAATAGCAGTAATCATCACCCCAATAGTAGCAGCCTTGCCTCGGAATTCTTCGTGGCGGTGCCCTGGCTGCATGCTGGTGATGCCTCGTCACTGTGGGCTTTGAAGCGACAGGCTCATGGTTCCCTCAAGCCCGGCCTCCCACTGCGACACCTCGTCGCTGCAGTTGGCCTGCATGGCAGTACCGTTACCCTAAACCCTAAACCCACTTCCCAGGGTTGCAAGCCCCGAGATGCTACGGCGGGACCGGCGCCCCGCCTCACTAGGATCGGAGGGGACGGCAGTGGAAGGAGCGCTTCTCCTTGCCTTCTCCCAAGGAACCTCGTCCTCGCACGAAAACCACTCGGAGTCCTGTCTTTTTGACAGGGCCCGATCCGGAACAGGCCGTGCTTCCTCGTCAGGAATTACAACCTCCAACTGCTCCACAACCTCACGCGTGGCCCCGCAAGCTAGTATCAGGTCTTCGCCCAATAAGCTGCATGTCAGAAGCATCGACATTGTATCGAAGGAAATCTCTCAGAGCCACTTGCAACGTACCGGTGCTACCTCAATTTTGTCAATCTTGCCCTGTGCGACAACCATGATATCCAAAGAGTGAAGCTTATAAGCCCATGAAACAAGCGCTTGATCCTACCACAACCGAGACCACTGCTGTCCTGCACTTGAGCATTCAGACATCAAAGCGGGCAGAAGCTGTGTGCAAGGAGGTCTCATGGAAGACTTGCGCAGTTCACCAAAACCCTGGACAGCTCAGGATGCAACACAGATACCACCTGGAGCAACCAGTACCCCAACTCCTGCACACTGCTCTTGCAGACAAACACACACAGACACCTCTACCTTCCAGGATCGAAGGTTGTTTTTGCTGGACCTCTGCCTCTGGTGCCATCGGCGCCCACGCCAGGGAACTAGACCTGAGTGGATCACATCTCGCTTCTCCCCTCAACTTGTCTGAGGCTAAGGCCGAAGCTCGACCAGCTCTGGCGGAAGTTGGGACACGTCCGTGGCGAAGGAAATCTTACGTTCCAGCAGCACAGCTCACGTCCGGCAGTTCCCCAGCCACCTTAGGCTCCCGGCTTCACCTGAACTTCCTTCTTCACAGAGTGGCTGGTCCAGTCTTATGGCAAAAGCGCCTACGGAGCCGCTCAGCAGGTCTCGGCGCTGCTCCACATGACATCGACGGAAGCCAGGCGGCCGACCCAAACCGGCTTGATCGGCCAGTGCACGGACGGGACCTCCCGACTCACACAGGCATCTGCAAGACTCTAGGCGGAGCTTCCTACACTTAGAGAGTTCGCTCTGAGTTGGCGGCTGTGAGGTGTTGGCGCGAGACCTGAGCCAAGCTCTCGCCCAAAGATCACAAGGGACTTCCATGAGGGCTGAAGCAGGCACTGCAGCATGTGCAGCGTTTTGATTTGGCCCACACAGCGAGGCTCGAGTCCAAAACGATCTCTCGTTTGCAGCGGAGTCGATTGATCTCGTTTGCCGTGCAGTCTATCTGCCACCACGGCCGGGGTATGGAATGTAAAGCTCGAAAGCAGGCTGCAAATGCGGAGCTGACCCACTGAGGACTTGCAGATTGTGCGCTACAGCAGGATGCGAGGCGTTCAAGCGAAGTGCCTCTTGGAGGGCTTGCGATGCTTGGTCTCCTGCATTGCCATATGCGTATACGACGGCCATGTTACTCCACGTAATCGCCGAGTCGGGGTCACACTGCAAACCTTGTGTCAGCGAAGCAAGCGCTTGCTCCAACTGGCCTTGCCGGGCCTGTGCCACACCGAGTGCATTCCAGGCAAAGCAACTGTAAGGCATGCGGTTAAGGCCCTCCTGAAGGTAATTCGCTCCTTGCACATCAGAGCCCAGCTTCACCATCAAGTACCCTAAATCAGTCATCCAAAGAAAATCGTTGCCGTCATGGAGCCCGATTCCGTGGCCATTCAATATCTTTTCGAAACTTCGGTATGCCTCTGAGAAGCGACCCAAGTTTATCAAAATCCTTGCAATGCAGTAATCCGTGATTGCTTGGTCATCGAAGATCGACAAGGACTTTTGGTAATAGTCTAACGCCTCCTCTAGCTGTCCAAGCGCCTGGAGCTCGGAGGCTTTGGCATGAAGCACCTTCACGCTTCTGTCCCAATGCTCGGCGTCCTTTACGAAAAGAACTGCCGGCGATTCCCAGTGAGACATGCGAATGTTGGAGTTGATGACGTAGACAGCCAGACAAGCAGCGGCCGCTGTCCAAGCAACGCTGGAAGCGGGCCGGCGTGTACAGCGGCTGCCAAGTCCACCTACGACAAGCGACCATCCGGCTGTCAAAGGGTAGAGCAATCTTTCCCCGATGGTTGTGCCGACCAAGAAGAAGAGGTTGGACATCGGAACAAAGGGCACAACGATGAGGCCGAGCCCCAGGATGATAGAAGGGCATGCTCCCCGCAAGCGCATCCCGTGACAGGCTAAAGCTGCTACCGCCAGGTAGGCTGCGAGGATAAGTTGAAGTCGTAGGTCCAAGACGGTTGTGACCATGGGAAGAGACTCGAACGAGTAGTCCCATGACTGGTTCCACGGGAATACCAGCAGTTTGGCATAATAGCCATGCTGAAACAAGTAAGACAATGTCCGCACGAGCAGAGCTTGCGACTCGCTACCGTGCAGCCTTACATCTTGATAACGTATTGGGGTGTCAACGTAACCGAAGCCAGCATCTGTACCACCAACATACCAAGTTCGTAATCCTGCGACGGCAAGGAAGGAAATCAAGAGGCCCAGCACATGCTTCCATCTGCAGCGCAGGGCGGCCTCTGCACACATAACGAAGAACAAAGCAGTGAACCCTGGCTCTTTGCATAGTCCGGAAAGAATGTTCAAGGCTACCAAGATCGCGTAGAATACGAGGGTCTGCAAAGGACCGGCGTTCCGTTGTAAGTTTGAGCGAAGGTAAAACAGAATTGCGAGCAGATAAAAGGTGGTAGACAAGGAATCCGCACGTCCCACCAAGTAAACGATGTTTTCGATGTGCACCGGGTGCGCAGCAAACAAAGCAGCCCCAAGACCAGCCCATCGCAGTGGGATTCGTGCTTGAAGCAGAACCGCAAGCATCAAGGCAGCATTCAGACTGTGAACCAAACAGCTAAGAAGGCGCATGGGCTTCATCTCTGTCCCAGCAAAGCCGAAGCGAGAACAAAGCTGCCACTCTGCTGCATACATTAAGGTTATTAAGGGGCGCCATGACTTGTGAGTGATATAGCCCTCGGGCGGATTCAGGGGTGTTCCCCAAAAGTCATGCTTAAGCACTTCCATGACCGAGGTCTCTCCTCTGGCATCTGGGTTCCGATAGATGGCAAAGCCTTCATCCACAAACCAACTTCTGTAGCCGACACAGATATAGTAGGGAAGCGTCAGAGAGACAACGGTGACATACACCACGAACCGAAGCCATGAAGGCTGTGCCGATTTCACCCGAGCTGACTTTCCATTGCTTGAGGCTGTCTTGGCAAGCCTGTCACAGCAGGCCAGCAGCTCACTTGCCCTCGAGCGAATGACTGCAGCATCGACCCCCGAGACATCCAATCTTTGCATGTCCGTCCGGCAGATGGTCTCTACATCTTGAAGCAGCTCGGCCACGGTGCGTGGCACTTTGCCGTGGGCTTTCTGCGCAGGGTCCGAGGCAGCCATCAGATGCTGTTCAGAGGCTTTTTCAAAGAGAGCTGGCGGTCTGGTCTGGGGCTGGGACGGTCTAGGGACTTGCGGGCTTGTCAGAAGTTCGTCATGCTGTTACAGCTACAGTCGCTGGAGTGCTGTGCCGTGATACTACGCAGCTCTCGAAGCATCTCTGCAGCGGACAGGGGGGTCTGTGCTCTTTGGGTTGCGACACATTCATCTGCGCAAGCGTCGACTCCCCGGTAGGGTCCAAGCCAAGAATGCCATCGAATGGCATGTCAATGAATGGGAAGTCACTCTCCTGATCTCGGCGGTGACTTACAGCAAGCAGCCCGAAAGTCCCGAAAGTTGCCCCGGCTCAAAGTATGCAAGTTGCTAGCCCACCTGCTCCGCAGCATGAAGGTCCATCGCGGCACAGAGCTTCAATGGACGGTCTGCATCGGCGCAGAGATAGCACCCCTCTTCCCCCAAAACCAACAAGGGCCTAAGTTGGGGCACGCCTCCGCCTAGGCAGAACTTGTCATGAGCGGGGAGCCCCACCAGCTTTCCGGAAGCAAAGCTCATGGCCTCCGGCACTATCGTTTATGTATGTTAAATTACATTATATTTTGTTGTAATCTCTTATTTTTTATTATGTTATATTATATTATACTATACTGTGTTCTTTATATGAAGGCCGAGAAGCGGAAAAGCAAAAGCGCGGAAGCAGACAATGACAGCTCATGCTCGGAAGTGAGGAAGCGCAGACGAGACCCCCCCAAGCCCCCCAAAAAATACCACAGGCACAAAAACTAAATTCCCACAACAAATGGCCCTCCATCAAAGTGCCCCCAAATGCCCAAAATCTGAGCAACTATAGCCCGCATTCCCCATAGATGCCAAGATTTTAGGAATTTGGGTGAAATTTGATCCCTGCCAATGTTTTCGCATTTCATGCTTCAGGAATTTGGGGGAATTTCGAGCCTGGCAGCACTTTGGCAACCTCGGATGCGAAAACATCGGCAGGGATCAATTTCCCAAAAATTCCCGAAGCCTGAAATGCGAAAACATCGGCGGGGATCAAATTCCCCCAAAATTCCCAAAATTTGAGCAACTATAGCCCCGCATTCCCCAAAGATGCCCAGGATTTTAGGAATTTGGGGAAATTTGAGCCCTGCCAATGTTTTCGCATTTAAGGCTTCAGGAATTGTTGAAAATTTCGAGCCTGGCAGCACTTTAAAAACATCGGCAGCGATCAACTTTCCCAAATTCCTTGCCCCCGCACTCCCCATAGATGAGGACTTTAGGAATTTTGGGAAAATTTGATCCCTGCCAGTGTTTTCTCATTTCAGGCTTTAGAAATTTTTGGGAAATTTGAGCCTGGCAGCACTTCGGCAACCTCAGACGCGAAAGCATCGGCAGGGGTTGTAAATGTCACTAAAAGTCCTTGTCCGCACACTCCTCATAGATGCCAGGATTTTATTGTTTTTGTGTTATTGTTACAGTTTTTACTGCTTCTAATTTTTCTATCTTAAGTATGTTATTATTCATTATGTTATTATTGTTAGATTGGCATTATCTATTGTTATTATTAGTCATACTGCTGATGGTGGTGGAATACATGTTGTTCCTATTACCTGTTGTTCTTGTTGCAATTGTAGTTGCAGCAGTACCAGTAGCGGTATT